TTTTTCAATCACAAAATGTATGGTAGCTCCTAAATCCAAACCCATTTCGATTCAATTCAATTAAATTCATCATGTTATCGGCCAATTATTGGAAATTTGTTTCGTGTGCATGTCAATACAAAATTACAGATTATAAACATCAATAAGATACAAATGAATACAGAACAGTACATTTGACTTGAACAAAGATATCACGAAATGCGATAGTTCAAAATGCAGACTAAAATCAATTCATGATTTAATTTATTTTATTTTATTTATTAAATTTTTTTACATTTAATAGTTCAATATTATCATGATAACGACAGTCAATTTAAGATAATTGATAGAGATATTAAATGAATTTTGTTCACAAATAATTCTTTATTTCTTGCATCTAAACGGTATATTTTTTAGCAGTGGCTGTGCTCCTCCATTAGGCCTTAAACAATAAGCACAATCATGATATACAACGGTATAATAATAACAATATATACATCAAAGAAAATCAGTATATTCTTGAAATAAGGGATAAAGAAGATAAAAAATGTCCAAATTCCCATCATATTAACATACATATTTGTTACATTTTTACATAGATTGAAACCTAATCGTCAATATTCATAACCTTCTTGGAATACAATCTCATTTATGTTTCTAGTATAGTACGTAAAACGACTACTGACAAGAAAATAACTTACGATCCATGAACATCATAGATCAACATTACATGGATGAAATTGTTACATACATCATGATTAGCATATACTCTACGATAAACATTATTTAAACGGCATACTTTCAAGTGACGCTGATGTTTTTTTCAACTGGGCACTTAGAATATAGATCTCCAATACAAAGAATTAACCGAATATGTCTCTCTCTGGTAGAGCTAATTATTTGTTTTCAAAGCATAATCGTTCCCAAATACTGAGATTTAAATCAAATAATATTCAGTGCGACATAATTATACGCGTTAAGGAAACACCGCGTTGAATGGAAATCTTGCGATCTTTTGTGGCTATGTTATGTTTTAGCCAAGACAAACCGAAAAAGAAGAAGAAGGAGGAGGAGGAGGAAAAAAGAAGAAGAAGGAGAAAGAAGAAGAAGAAGAAAAAGGAGAAGGAGAAGAAGAAGAAAAAGAAGAGGGGGGAAATAAGAAAAAGAGGAAGAAGAAGAGAGAGAGAAGAAGAAGAAGAAGAAGAAGAAGAAGGAGGAAGAAGAGGAGAAGGAGAAGGAAAAATAAGAAAAAAGATAATAGGAAAAGAAGAAGAAGAAGAAGAAAAAGAAGAAGAAGAAGGAGTAGGAGGAGAAAAGAAGAAGAAGGAGAAAGAAGAAGAAGAAGAAGAAGAAGGAGGAGGAGGAGGAAGAGGAGGAAGAGGAGGAGAAGGAGAAGGAAGAATAAGAAAAAGATAATAGGAAAAGAAGAAGAAGAAGAAGAAAAAGAAGAAGAAGGAGTAGGAGGAGAAAAAGGAAATCAAGAAGAAGAAGAAGAAGCAGAAAGAGGAAAGGAAAAAAAAGAAGAGAGGAAGATTAAGAAGAAGAAGGAGTAGAATGAAAAGGAGAAGAAGGAGGTGTAGGAGGAGGAGGAGGAGGAAGGAGAAGAAGAATTCTAGAATGACGCACGTAGGTACTATGATACTATATCATCTAGGGTAGAAAGATTGGACATGAGCTTGCAACTCAGATATCAGTTGGTATTTGATCTACTTGACACAGATTGACACGGATCTAAATGTCAAAGAAGATTTGGAAATGCATACAAATGTGAAAGGATTACCAACTGCTTCATGTTCTCGCTGTATAATGCTCGGATATTCAGATAATTTGGATTTTTAAAACATGAAAATAGGGTAGGCCTAAACGAAAGTCATGAATAAGAATATCAACTAGATATGGTATGAGCTTGCAACTCAGATATCATTTGGTATTTGATCTACTTGACACAGATTGGCACAGATCTAAATGTCAAAGAAAATTTGGAAATGCATACAATGAATGTAAAAGGATTACCAACTTATTTATGTTCTCGCTAAGCTGGGGTATTCAGATAATTTGGATTTATTAAACATGAAAATATGGTAGGCCTAATCATAATATAAACGAAAGTCATGAAAAAAAATCAACTAGATAGAGCATGAGCTTGTAACTCAGATATCTTTATTTGATCTACTTGACACAGATTTTTCAATATAATTTCCTCGTATATTGTATCTAAATGTCAGAGAAAATTTGGAAATGCATACGAATGTAAAAGGATTACCAACTGCTTTACGATCTGGCTATGCTGGGGTATTCATATAATTGGGATTTTCGTAATACATGGAAAAAGTGTAATCTTAATGTAAAGGCAAATCATGAAAAAGGAGAATCAAGGAATAAGAAGTTCGTTGAATTTCAGTATATCAGAGATTTGTAATATAATTTCCTGTTTATTGAATATAAATGTCAAAGGAAATTGGAGATGCATGAAGAATGAATTCAAAGTTAACCAAATGCGTTATTTTTATTATATATTTTTATATTTTTTTATTTAATACATGAACAAAGTGTAATTTTAATGTGTACGAAAATCATGAAAAGGAGAATCAAGGAAGAGGGATTTCGTTGAATTTCAGTACCAAATTTAGTACACCCTCCCTCCATAGTACCCCCCCCCCCCCCCCCCCCCCCCCTCCCACTCAACTCTGAATAGAGGTAATGAAGGAACGTCTATATACCATAAAGGCAATCTGCACTCGTACAGGTGCATCACACACGCACCAAGCAATCTGATCGCCCGTCATGTCACCTGCTTCCAGACTCCATTCTCACAAATTAAAAAGCAATTACTAGACGCAGGCGAATATAAAGATTGCATCGATTTGCATGTATCCATGGTTGGATTCTTGAATGATGTGCCCTATATTTTTCCCCTATTCAACTAAGTTCTTTCTTCTTCTTTTTTCCTACTAGCGCAAGGCGTACGTGGGTGGTATCGAGTAACTCCCAGAAGCGCATGCTGTATTTGTTGCACCTTCCAGCTGTGCAGGTATATATCATTACGTGTATATCCTCAGAGACCGCTCACCGAGATTTTACACAATTTTCGATTTGAATTTTCTATTCTGAATGTCAATTTCATAATGTACGGAAGAGATTTTAACAAATTTCGAATCGAATTTCAATTTGCTACATGTTACGCGATTCACGAACGTGAATTTTATTTCATATAGAGTATCCATTTGTATTTTGAGTCTGAATGTCGATTTGATTGAAAACGATTTACTTCGAGTTTTTACAATGTAGATTAGAATATTAAGTTTTAGATTCATATTTCGTTCCTCGAGCGTTATGGTTGACACAAAGCAGAATGCAAGCATGTAACATGAGCAAAGTACAGACTTGACATAACAAAGAATTCTAATCACAATTACTGCAGTCCTTTGAATTGTATTCCCAATTGGGTTTCTTGTTCGTTTCTAACAATTATTAACGTTGTAGTGGTGAAATTTGATTTTCTCCTGTCAAACATCTGATAAAATGTCAAGAAATATAAAATAATGCTTATAGTAGAAACCAAAGATAGTAACAAATGTGAATAGTCCACGACTAAAACAACTAAAACTTGCTTACATAGTTATTAATCACAGTGATTAAAATCATGATCGTTTAATTAAAGTCCTTCTTTATTCTACGTTTATATCCATCGTCTCTTGTACTTGGAATATTGTTATTAATTTCAAATATCAAATACTTTTTTTTAAAGTGATCATCAACAGATAAAATACCCCCCCCAAAAAAAAAAAAAAAACAACAACAACAACAACAAACAAACAAACAAACAAACAGAAAACAAAAAACCCACCAAGATAGAGACAAGTGAAATACGAACACGAATAATACAGGCCAAATACAAAATTTACAATGATTATGTTTAAAAGTCTTCAAATTAGAAATAGTAAGCGCAATACAACTAATCAACTGGATTTCAAAATGTATACCAGTTTATATAGAATTTCATATCAAAGTCAATCATTTTAGAGCACTTGTCATCGCCATGTTAAATTAGGCTCATTCAACTTAAAATAATTGATTATTTTCGAGACTTTCATAAGCTTGTAAATTCATTAGAATGTTGGAAAGTTGCAGCATCTCAATTGATTCTAGAAGGATATTTTTCAAAATACTGAATTTAGAATCTAGGCCCATATGTTGGCTATAATTATTGTGAGTATAGAGATGGTGTACACAGTACGTGGCAATTAAACCGGTATAAAGCTATAATCTTCAAAGCCCTTAAAGGCCCACTGCACTACTTGTAGCTACTTGCGCCCTCTATATAACAAACAATGCCTAATCGGTGACCATTGGTCCCCCATGATCCTCTTTTTCTTATGTTAACTGAGAGCTGAGTTGATGAGATAACCACCTGTCCAGTGACCTTGCAGGGCGGTCTAATCCCTCCTGTAAACTATGGCAGATAAGCTTTAAATATAAAGTGTTACCGGAGTAATGGCTGTCCAGTAGATTGTAACATGAATATTAATGAGTATTCTTCTTCTTTCGTATATCGTGGCGGTGTCGCGGTATAGTGGTTCATTTACTTGACCCCGAACATGCTCAATCCAAAGGTTGAAGGATCAAATCCCAGTCCAGCACTAACGTCCTTTGACAAGACCTTAATCCATATTTGCCACTCTCCACCCAGGTGTCAATTGGTACCTGGTATAACCTCAGGGATAATGATGCTTACAGGGCCCTCGGGAAGAACAGCAAGAAAGCTGGTGAGGCCTCCCTGGGTAAACAAAATCATCATCATCATCATCATCATCATCACCATTATTATTTTTTATTATTATTAATATTATTATTATAACTATTATTATCATAACGTTTTGCAGCTAAAGTGGCAAATCATGTTTGGAGAGCCACGCAAAAGCATCACCTGACACAAGACACGGTTCCTTGGTTCGTATTCCTAACACTGCTGCCGTCGGCTTCATCGGTTTCATCATCATCATAGTTGCCAGCAGTACATAATCTTTTCATACATCCTTTATTCATGTACGACTTGGAGCATGATCCGCTTGTCGATGTGGGGGTTGATCACGGCAGCTCTCGGCGGCCACTCGGCAAATCTGACGGGCAATACACTGCTTGTTCCCATACCGCTGATATCAGCGGTCATCGTGCTGTTGGTGAAAAACATCATCGGTGAGATCATCACCGAGTTCGTTCCGGATTCCTCGTCGGTGGATAACTTTCCGACGTCGATGACACTGATGGTAGTCGGTGTGTTTGGGACGTAGAAGTTGTTACCATGGACATCGTGTGAGTTTTCCGCCATGCTGTTACGATATTGACGTCGCCATGTCAGGAAAACGACAGCGTTGACCAAGGCGACGATGACGAGGAGACCGAGTGTGGCTAGGAGAGTCCAGATGTCGAGGTAGAAAGTCGACGTCTTTGTAAAATCGAACTCGAAATGGACCGGACGTGGTTGTGGTTTTGTGAGGAGCCCCGTAGTTGAAGTCAGGTTAGATGCTGCTAACCCGCTCATGTTTGCCGATTTCTTGAATCTGGATTTGAGAATAATACAAAAATATGCATGTTTTAATGAAATATAATATAAACCTACAATACTTGATACGGTAAAAAAAAAAGGAAGACATGATGTTAATAATGAAACAACCTCTTTGTTTATTTGTCAGCCTACTATACACATTCCGAGGTGTATCCTAATACTCCAATATTCTCTTATTTATCTTTTCCTGTTTTTATTGATGATAAATATTGTCGACAGACTTCCCGCTAACCGCGCAAAGAGAATACAGTCTTGAACTCTAATAACTCTAATAACATGTTACACCAAACAAATATATACCACAACTATCAGTATCAACACGATCACGGCAACATCACCAGCATAATTATCATCATCATCATCATCATCACCAACACCACGGGCATCATCATCATCACCATCATCATCATCATCACCACAACCACCATCATCATCATCATCATCATCATCATCATCACCAACAACAGCCACAAGAACAAAATTCATCAAAACATACCTTGGTTTGAATTTTACCTGATGATCAAATAAGTTATCCTCAAACAATATTGATTGTGATTTTATTCCAGAAAGTTTTCCAAATAATAGGTTATGTACGATCACCATAGATTAGGCAAAAACTGGTCGCATTACTCTTCTTGATCAAGGCATAAACCAAAAATAAGCTTCTCATCTTCTTCGCCTGTGTTAAGTAATGTTTTTGTAATATCGCCAACGCCGCCGGCTTAAGTTTTAATCACGCCCCTGCAAAGCGGAATGAAAAATAAATCCTCTTAGCTTAGTACGAGTCGTCTCCCTACAGACTACAACACCGACGCGGAAAAGATGAGGAAGACAAATATGCTCCTTCTCAAAAAATTAAAGTTCGAGAGTGTAAAGATAATTCGATAATATCAGAGGTGCAATGCTTAAGTTCAAAGTTGTTATCACTCGAATTATATATCATCTATAGATAAGGAACGCAACATTTACGTTTTTCAGCGAGAGCAAAAATTAATATAGGAGCGTGCAACAGTCTCCAGAAGAAGAAAAGAATCCCCGCGAATTCTTAAAGTCAGACGACAAAAATTACTCATATGCGATAACGAATATGCGATTGGTGTTAGTCCAATAGATACCAGAAATATGTATACACTGCAGAAGAAACAAGTTCCTTGCAAAATCATAAGACAAAATGTTGATGAATGATTGAAACGCGAGAGCTCATGAAAGCAGAACGATGAAACAAATATTCCCAAAGAGGAACCCTGTAAACGTCGCTAAACGTCGCTGCTACTATCTTCCGCACGCACTTTTAACAGGAGGACGATGTGAATTGTGATAGTAGCGACGACGGGGATGGTATTATTCTGATGTCGCGCACCTCTCTTCATCATCACTCTCTCATTCGCACCCTACCCCCTTTGGCTTTCTACCGATGGGAGTGACAAGCTGACAATTGTGATGGCAGATGTAAAAATAGGGTCAGTCCGAGAAAATCAAAACTAGCGTTCTCAAACACTAATAAAATTTGTCCCCTTTCCCTCTCTTAATTTTTGTTTTTTGGCGCCGCGTAATTAAAAATAAAACAACAAGCAGGCTTTAGAAAGAAGCAGGCTTTAGAAAGTAGGGTCTGGAGAGTTTGGCACCCTATACTCACAAGTTTGGTCGGAACAAACAAGAGTGGACATTTGTAAATTTCAGAGCTTTCTGGCTGTATTTTTAAAACCCTTTTTGGGGTGGTTGAACAAATCTTTTAGATAAGGAAAACATTAGACATTAATTATCTGCAAATTTTGAGGCCTTCCTACTTTAACTTAACCCCTTTTTAAAGATGTGAGAATTTTCTTTTCTTTTCTGTATATTATTGACTAACTTTGCTTCTAAAGCGAACAGCTTGTCGGTAGAAATTACTCCTAAATGTTCTCACCCCCCCCCCCCCCCTCTCCGTCTAAATGTTCTAGAACGCCACGAACGCGAGGGTTTGCATATAATATTATTGCGTTAAATGGGGTACCCTATTTATTCACGTGTTATTAATAGCAATAAGGCTAATTTGATAATGGTAATATTCCTAATAACTCTTTCAGTTCGAGATATTAGCGTCTTTTCCAATTACCCCTCAAAGTGCTTCGCATCCCATTACCTCTGCCTTTAAATTGAATTACGAGTCCACACATTGAGTCCCGTGTACGCTCTCTCCTCTCTCTTCTCTCTTCCATACCAGTCACCAATTTACAGAAGCGCCCTAACTATGGCGTACCATGCGAATAGCGATTGATGAGGGCACTAGTGTTATTGGGGCATCGAAAATATTCAATTTACTGTAATTCACTTCAGTGCCAGTGTTATTGGTTAAAAAAAACACATGAAAAAAGTCAGAAGACCAATGCTGTCATAATTATGTACAATAAAAATATCAACATGTGCATACATTGTAGTGTATTACACACATGTACATTATTTTCATAGCGATCAACTATATACACAAAAATGTGTATGGTTTAAAACATAAAATAAAAAATAATAATAATTATATATTTGCTTATATAGCGCCTAACACTTACTTTATCTTACCTTACACTTACCTGATCGCTTTATCTAAGCGCTCTACAATAATGCAGCAATTGAAAATTACAAAATATGAAAAACAATATTTGAATTGTACTTAAGATGACGAAAATAATTGCAAATCATCATCGCAATCTTAAGGTGATGTAAATTGGTACCTGGCAGGAATTAATCCCTTGAAATGCTAAAGCGCCGTAATGGCAGCACAACTAAAGCCCGGGTAATAATCTCCCAATTTGGAAGCGCTTAGAGACTTAATTGTAATTCGCGCTATATAAAAGCTGAGTATTATTATTATTATTATTATTATTTAATGAAGGAAGAGAGAGAGAGAGAGAGAAAGAGAGAGAGGTGAAGGGAGAGAGGGGAGGGGGGGGGGGGGGGCGGGCGGAGGAGCGAGTGTATGTACATAATGTTGTGTATGGGTCCAATTGTCTACTTTTCGCCTTGCCTTCCTCCTCTCCTCTTCTTAATTCTCTCTTTCCCTCTTTTTTTATTTCGCACGGTCTGGGGAGGGGGCAGGTGCCCCCGTGCCTCCCGTTGCTACGCCACGGTCCAGCCCACAATAACATTCCCATCCTAACAGAGCGCGAAAAGCCGTGATAATTGCATTCATGGTGGTTATTTTCCATGTGCCTTGTTTCGGACTGATAACCTGAGAATCATTAGTCAAGATTTCAAACTACTTTACCTCAACAAAATACCAGAGCAGAAGAATCTTGCGAATTCAATTTTTTCCCGATATGGAAAATTCATTAAAAAAAAAAAAGATCCCGCACCCTTTGCCCTTTTACATGTCATTATTTTCTATAATGGAAATATAAAGACCACTGTATTAATCCGAGGATGTAGCAATGATAAAGAAAATTAGGAGCATAATGAGAGGGATATTTAAGGCTAGCATGCAATTTTAAATCTCCCTCCCCAGCCCCAATCCCAGGAATGGCAGTTATAGAATAAAAGGATCACGCGAGATTATGTTTGTGAAGGTAACCTCCAACGGTTATAGAATAATCCTCTTTTCAAGTTACATTTCGGCGTTGGGTATTCATTTCAAATGTTAGCTTTGTATTCTGATCAGCCACTTAAATGTTTGTTGTTATTGTTGTTTTTTGATGATTTTCAAAATAAATATTTTTTAAAAACATTTTTAAATCGTGGAATGATCTCCATAGTCTTAAGCGCTTCCCAAATCATGGTCAATATTTCATCATATTTTTCACAAAATGCGATTTTTGAAATATTGATTATTAAAAAGCTTTTCAAGGAAACGTTTCAAAACGATAAATAATTATCCCGTCAGCGTAGTCTCAAACGCTTGCTCCGTTCACCATTAACATTAAGTTTCCTCGGATAGTGCACTAGTTCTCCAAATCCAAAATAAAATCTGCGGCTTCATCATCATCATAATAGGTGTCCATATTTTGCCAGCAGTAAATAATCTTTTCATATTTTCATCCCTACCCGCTCCCCTACCCTTTGCCCGCGTGAACCCGTTGCTGTAACTTGTTTGATATGGTAATGAATATGACCTGAGGGTGATTGGCTATACGTCAGCTAGCCATAGCTCGCAGCCATCAAACAGCAGGCCAGATGTCAAGAATGAATTGACATTTTACTTCTATATTCCTCTTCAAATGCTCCGTTTCAACTGCCAACGGTGTCTCTAGGGTTTTCCTTACAGCGGTGAGGCGCAACAAGAATATTAGTTCGTTACAATAAAAATGATGATGCAAGAGCAAGGGGAAGAAGTGAAAAAGAAGAAAGGAAAAAAAAAGATTTATCATATTTTTAGGTTGAAAAAGGGAACAACAACACAATAAAGGGCACTTTACTCCCGTGTACTTAAGATAATAAAGCCATATATGTTTTTTAAATGGGGCGCGGGCCGTTTGTGTCCACTCCTACCCCGTAAATCTACCAGTGAGATGTATGAACATGAAAGTATAGACCAAATCGGTTAAAATGCTTCGTCTTCCATATAGCTGGGCCCATCCAAGAGCATTTGAAAAGATTATTCAATATCGTAGGTGAATGGCCATTCCTGAACTAAAGCAGGGATAATATTATTTACGTATTATTCAGCATTCTCGATGTCCCCCATGCAGTAATTAATGGCTCCTGACGCTTTCATGTTCAATTCTCCGAATCAGTGTCTACGCGTGGGTTGTGATAATTCTGGAAGTGGGAACGCACCACCTTGTTGCCACTCCAAGGCGGAAACAAAGTGAAGTCTAAACGATTACCGGGCGATAAAGGGGAAACATGGTTACAGGCGGGTCGCGATTGCTGATTGCCCCTATGCGTTCACACAATGTCAGGACATCAGCTCAAGTTGTGCTTATGACGTCCCCAATTTTCTATTTACGAATTTACGTGACCATATACATATTAGAAAGTCATATATGCGTGATGATGTATACGGAAAATAAATGAACATCAAATATAATAAAAATCAGTTTGTTGAGAAATATATATCTTTACATTTAAAGAAATTATCTATTCAAGGACATCAGCTCAAGTTGTGCTTATGACGTCCCCAATTTTCTATTTACGAATTTACGTGACCATATACACATTAGAAAGTCATATATGCGTGATGATGTATACGGAAAATAAATGAACATCAAATATAATAAAAATCAGTTTGTTGAGAAATATATATCTTCACATTTAAAGAAATTATCTATTTTTGGCAGGCTGTCATTCTGCGACCTGTGATGGAGATGTTGTTGTTTAGGCTATTTATTTTCATAATCGGTTATAAAAAGCAGACTCGCTGATTGCATTTTTCAAAGGTTAAATGATAAGAAGATGCCTTTTCAAATGCATAGACTATAAGTAGATATTGTTTCCTCTAAAATCATTATTTAGAGGAGCACATATACAGTACCTGCCCTATAGCTACGATAATATTTCTCTACATTATCATCAGTGATTCATTATCTGTCTGTTGAGCTCTCTCACTCCACTCTACCTCGTTTCATTCCAATGTATCTCTCATTTTGCTTTTGCCTAATGTGTGA